AGAATATAAACAGCTGGTTCATTTGCAATCCATTATGACATTTATAATACTGCCATCCTCAAGCAGACAAGGTTTATTGTTAGGGATAGGCTATTTCCAGAGTGTATATCCGGAATTTTAATTTATAATGCATCACAATTTGGTCCACTTGAAACTGACTCAGAAAACACAAACAATGGGATTTTTGTCTTTGCTTCTAAGACTAACAATCGAAACATGACTAATTATCTGAAACGTACTTCTCCCTTTGTCTCTTTGGGGTGAAAATATTATTTTTAGCCAGTTCCTAGATTTACATGAGCTGTAGGTTTTAACTTTGACACTTCCCTCCTGGTATTTATACTTTGATTCATAAACTTGGAAATTGACAGGGTATTGTAAATAGTCTTTCAAGAATTCCTATTTTAGGACCTGTGTGTCAGAGAGGGAAAGATCAGTTGCCTCCACCGCTTTAAGCCTTAATAGGTTTAAACCGCAGTCAGAAGAAAGAAAGAAAGAAAAAAGTATGTCTTTTTAACTAATACCATGTCATCTTCTTAATCATGCTGATTCTGAATAATTCAGCCTCTATGGAAGTTGCAGAGCCAGAATCTATAGCTCTGTCTCTCTTGGGGGTGGTGGGGGGAGGAGTTTATTATTACTGAGCCTGACAGGAGAGAGCTCTGGCAGGTTAATTGCTACAGCAGGACTAGCTGGGAGTTTGCTGGTGATATATAGCGACTAAAGGGAGTGAAGGAGATTGACTATGCCTGTTACAGCACAAATATCTTCATGCACCTCAGGTTTCTCAGAAAGATATGAGAAATAAATGTTCGCTGTTCATTTTCTGTCTGCACCATAAAAATAGCCTCGGGCTAAACATGGCGACTATAGCACAGAGACTTAAAAAAAAAAGAAGAAGAGGAAATTTGCAAATTAACATTATTACAAACATTCCTGCCTGAAAGTGCTGAAAATCAATTTCAATATATTTTGCATTTTAATGAATTGCCAGAGAGATAAATCAGCGTGTTTGAGGAATGCTTGCTTGGCAATGATGTTTTCTTATCGCATCTTGTCTTAACTGATAGCATTTAAAATGAAACCAGTGTTAATTGAAGGCGTGGGAAATGTAACTGCTAGTTAATGAAGGAAATGCATGCTAGTTATGCAGAATTCAAAATTTGCTTTAATATACTCACTCTAACGTTCTTCTCCCTGCACTGTAACCCCCTAATGCCAAAGTAGTAATCTCAGTATTACAAAAGTGGTTGAAGGCAAAGCCATCTTGTTGCCTGGGCTATGACTAAAGGCCACTGTACTTTAATTCCTCAGTGGAAACAGGATGCAAATACTGTTTTTGTTTTACACGGTAAACAACAAATTCCAACTCCTCAGCCTCTGGGGAGCCTTGGGGGAAGGCAGAATCTCACACTTCTTTTCTATTAAGAAAATAAACAATATAACTTTTCAATCTATCAAGCTGTTTGCACTGTTTAAAATTACCTAGTTGAAAGAGGAAGTCTATTTGCCAGTGCTGTTGAGGTCAGAGCTTCTCCAAGTCACATTTGTCCGTGCTCGACACATAGTATGTACTCATTCAAACATTACCGAATAAAGAGATGGATGCATAATTATCCTCCTTGGATCTTCATTTCTTTTCCTTTCTCTTCTATTTTTTACTTTTCTTTCTTTTCTTTTCTTTTTTTTTTTTGAGAGGTTTTTGCTATAGGGCATGTGCTCTCGCCAGAAAGAGAGAGACAGAGAGACAGAAAGTGATAAATCTCTCCCCAAGAGGGATGTCCATGCCACAATCCCTTCTCCTCCATTTTCCTTTCAGGATCTTGGGCACGCATGCACACGCGCCTGGCGTGAGTTTAAGCCACCGGGTCTGGGATTCAAACCACAGTGGACTACATGGGAGTCCAGCGACATAGCCGTTATGTCAACTGCTGGTCTCCAGATCTTTGTTTCTGAACAATAAAGAAATCATTACATTTCCATTATGTATGCATGAGTATTTAACATATAACATTATAAACCAATGCTCTGTAATAACGTGTATGGAATATACATTTTATTTATTTTTTTGAGAGAGACTTTTGCTATAGGGCATGTGCACTTGTCAGAGAACCAGAGAGAGAGAAAGAGAGAGAGCCAGAGAGACAGAAAGTGAGAAATTATCTTCTGAGGGGAGAGCGACACTATACTCCCTTCTCCTCTATTCTCGTCTTGGGATTTTGGGCATGCATGCACATGTGCCGACTGTGAATTTCAAGCCGCCAGGTCCAGGACTTGAACTGTGGTTGATCATGTGGGAGTCCAGTGCCTTAGCCACTATGCCACCTGCTGGTCTCAGGAATACACATTTTCTTTAAATGTCAGAGGGCACATGCAAGCACAGGACAGAGAGAGAGAGACAGAGAGACAGAGAGACAGAGAACCACCCCCAAGCCAGATCTATTTGTGCTGCATTCCTTTTTCCTGTATGTCTGCACCTTATCAGGATTGTGGCATGCTAGACATGCCCAGTGTGTTGCTGCCGGGACCAGGACTGGAACTGTAGTTGGCCATGTGAGATCTGGTTCCTTCTGTATAACTCTTAATCACTGTATTACCAAGGTGGTCCCATTTTTTCATATGTCTTCTGCAAGTATATAATCCATCCCCAACTTCATATTGTTCTTGCTAATTGCCTTTCACAATCTTGTAGGCATGAGTTTTCTTTCTTTCTTTTAATTGTGTAAAACAAAATAAACAAGGCAATCACTTTCTTGGGAAATAAATTCTCTGAAAAGTAACAAATGACAGATCATTTGGCAAACTAAAATTAGGCAGCAACAAAAGAGGCAATTTATATTTTCTTCTGCACCACAGAGTGTTATAAGTCTGGAGGTCACTGCGGTGGTCTCTACTTTCTATCAATGACATAGAATGACTTACCTTAGGAAATCATTTGGCCAATGCCACAAATAATGTGATTCTTAGAAAGTTTTGTTTTTCTTAAAAATGTTTAAGCTTATTCAGTTATTTCTTCTATAAGATCCTGAGTAAGAGAAATAAAAAAGAAAAGGTGAAACAGAAAGCTAGAATCCCCCAGAAAAATCCAGATGCCACACCTCATCCCCAACTTCAGCCAGCCACAGACCATGGGCCTGAGTATACCCAGTGTACTCAGGGAAGTACACAGATGTGAACCCAGAACCTCTGCAGTGTGGGTCAGCCTTGCAGATCACTGCACTGCCATCTGGCCCTCTCTTTTCCTATATTTTTAATTCCATCATCAGTGTGCCAAATAACCAAGCATCAATTATTTTTTGTTGTGAAAAATTCATGAACAACTTTTTGTAACAATGAACAAGACATACTTCCCAATGCACAGACAATATGCTTGTTATGTATCAATCACGGAAAAACTGAAAAGTCTAATACAGTGTAGCATTTACTAGGGAAACTGGAACTTGAAAGTAAATTATCAGGGATAATGTAGCTCTTATCCTTTATAATTGGGAACATAGTGAGGAATAGTGTTGATGCCTAATTATCATTGTGCAGTTAATTATTGCTCTTATTTTGTGGGGACTTTCAAAATCAATTATTCCCACAAAGCCTATGTCAAGCCAGAAAATACCTGTTTAAAAGCTTTCCTGGTGTCATCTGCCCACCTTCAACTTTATTTTTTACTCCCGGAGCCCAAATCTCTCTTTTGATAAAAATGCTCTGCTTGACCAAACTTTAGTCAGGCTCTGAAAACTTTTCCTAGGCCCATCTGTGCACTTCTTTATAAAATCCTGTTTTGATAAGATCCCTGTTAAATCTGTTTAGCCAAGAAAGCCCCAAACTCTATATCCGACCACCCTCTGTAACTAATTGGGCTCCTTGCCCTTTACAAGCCCCCAGGGGATGTCCAATCAGCATGGACCGTTCTTCAGCAAGAATTCTGTTAGGATGGTTCACTGGGATCCCCCCACGCCCCATCCCTGATGTTTCCTCTTAGTAATTTTCCATCCACCAATCCTCACCTGGTTCCTTGGCCATACATGCCACCTTGTATTCAGAATTGAGCTGAGTCTATATGGGTCTGTTTTCCCCAGCTGCAATAATCCTGAAGAAAGTCTGCTTGTACCACTTTAACTACTGTCCAGCTCTGTTTTTTCTTTGACAGTGTGGAGCAAGTTGAGAAAAAAGAGTGATCTCTGACTGCATCTTCTCTAGCCCTTTACTCTGTGATAGGGAAAGCAGTTAACTCTGGAGGCTATAGGATTGGAGTTGTTTAGAAGGCAAATGTCGGGACCAGCATTTGGTGTAATGGCTATGTCGCTGGACTCCCATGTAGTCGACTGTGGTTCGAATCCCAGACCCGGTGGCTTAAACTCATGCTGGGTGCATGTGTGTACGTGCCCAAGATCCCGAGAGGAGAAAAGAGAAGGGATTGCAGCATGGCCATCCCCCCTGGGCGGTGAATTCTTGCTTTCTGTCTCTCTGTCTTTCTGGCAAGTGCATGCGTCATATAGCAAAGAAACCTATCTCTCAAAAATAAATAAATAAATAAATAAATAAATAAATAAATAAATAAAAGGCAAATGTCAAAAGCATGAAGTTGTGTGTTTCAGAAGATGCATTTATGAGTTTGTTTTGTTTTGCTAGAGGGCACATGTGCTCACTAGGAAGAGACAGAGAAAGTGAGAAAGCAGTCTCATGGAGCATAGTACCAACTCAATCTTTTCTCTCCCACTTTTCCCTCCTTCTGGGGTTTTGGGTGTGCATGCAGCTCAGTGTGTTCTTCAAACCACCAGGTTCAGGACTCGAAGCCTGCTATTGGTTGTGTGGAATCTGGCTGCCTTCACCACTAGGCCATGGTGCCAGCCTGCATTTGCCTGTTTATTTTATTTTATTTTATTTTATTTTATTTTATTTTATTTTGGATTGCTCTGACTCCGCTCATCCTTACACTGGCAACATTTGAAAAAGTGGTCACAGTTCTACTGAGCTGGTTATCTATGCTTCCGTTCATGTAAGGAATGTCTTCTGGCTTTCTTGGTGGAAAGCCCTACACAGGAGGGGGTGGAGCTCCACGGGATCACGAGAAGCCTATTGGAGGTTTAGCAGAGAAGCCCCAGAATTACCGTCACGGGGTTGCAATTCTTTTCCCCATCTCTACTGTTACTTTTTGTACAATTCCTAGCAAAACATTGGTATGTTTGGGCCTTGATTTCCTTACCTATGAAGTGGGTGTAATAGTATCTGCTCTGTAACTCTTGAAGCTTGTTTAAGGACTTCATGTGGGGCGGGAATGTACGTAACTGTGATATAAGACGGACAGATAGAGCAGGGATAACAGAGATATTAGTAGTCAGGGTTTCACAAAAAGTGTAGACATTAAGTTAAACTCAAACATCAAGAAAGGCTTTTTAGTAAGGTGTCATATTAAGCTGTAATGTACACTCTGAAAGTAAACCTCATGCTTATGTAAAAACCCTTTATAATGATCAGCTTATAGAATTTAAAGCATTAATTTCATTTATTTTTTAGAATAATTGGACAAAATTGTATAGGGCATGGAACCCAGTCTCCCTTCCTGTTAACATTAGTGCTCTACTTATTAATATGACAGTTTCTTCCCTCCCTGATTGTCTCAAGCAGCTGTAAGAGAGCCAACTATAGACCCCTTGTATAACCAGATTTTATAAACGTTATATATAAAACATGAAATTGCTTAATGGCTGTGATGTATTAAGGTATGAATTTTTACAGTAAATCCAAGGATAAAGAACCTTTAAAAATTAATCTACTTTCTGATACACTTTCCCACAGAGACCATGAGATGGTTTGCAGCCAAGTTGGCTTTGAAAAACCATCACTAGATGCTATTTTTTCCTGATTGTTTAAAATGCCAATTGCAGGTATCAGAGGGATGATTTGCCTAGCCTTATACAGGAATCCCAGTTGCATGAAAGGTTTGGGACTTTTTTTCATTTATTTATTTCACTCAAATTAATGTAAATAATTTTTAGGGTAGGTACCAGAAAATGAATGATAAGCCTATTTTAAACTGGCCCAGCCTTCTTGCATCTGCCTGATGAAAAGCAATACACAGAGTAGTTTACACATATGAATAAAAACATGAAGTATTACTAAGTTTCTATTTTAAATGAAACAAAAGTAGTTTATATACCTGGAAAAGGTTTAGTTTTGTTTAATAACATTTCCAAAGTAGCTGTTTCCTTTTTCTCCCCTCCTTCCCCTACTCCCATCTGAGAACTTTCTATCGTAGAGTACTTTTTAAGACTCAGTTGGGGAAGGGCTGCATAATGTATATGATTGCATACGAAGAATAGCAAAACTGGAGGAAAAAAAGGCCTATTTCAAAATGATAGGTATTAATATAATTCCTATTTCCTTGGGGGGAAAGGAATTTTCTATCCCTACTGCCATTTTATAATGCTGTCAGTGGTGGCATTTTATTTGACTGTTTTTAACCTTTAGTATAAGAGTTAAAGCTATCAGGACTTTCAAAGGAAAGAGTTGAAATTTTAGTTATCCAATTCCGCCTCCCTTTTAAAGTCAGTTTCCAAAATGGATGACAATGAAATCTCCTAAAATAGCATTGCCCTAATACTAAATGGCAAGGGGACATGTGTTCTGAATCCTCTGGGTGGTGCTCACTTTGCAGGAAAGCCAAAAGCGAATCAACTGTGGTGGAAGACCCATGTCTCCTAAAAAATGACAGACTCATTAGATTCTTTCAGAAGAGAAATAATCACACAAATAATTCCGTGACAAATAGAGATTTTTTCTTAAAAGGCTCAATAAACCAAGCAACTATATTTTTGTAGAATTAATACATTTAACATGACTCAAAAATTCTTTTCTCTTTTTTTTCCTTGTTGGCATCTGGCCAACAGTAGTTTGAATGAGCATTTCTAATTCTTCTATCCTCTTTTCATATCCACTCTTACGGTGATCTCACTGTGAGTGGATTGCTTTTCCCCAGTCTTTGAATTTGGACTTGAACACATGACTTGTTTTGGCTAATGGCATGTGGACAGAGTGATGGCATATCAGTTCTGAGCTTTAGTTTTAAGCAGTTCCATATGTCCACCTGCATTCTTAAGCTCTGATGTCACCATGAGAAAACCGGTCTTGACTCACTTGCTGGTTCAAGGTACATAAAATTCACACAGTACAGACCTGACTCTGCAGACCCACGGCACAGAATACAACAGCACCACCTGTCCTGTTTATCCACGCAAGGCAATATTAGTGTGTCAGCCAATTTCTCTTTTCACTGCTTGTTACATTGCATTACTAATACATGGACTTTGATTGACCAATGACTGTTTTGAAATAGCTTTCTATAAAACATTAGCAGGAAGTTAATTATGTGCCATTGTTTATGATTTTTGTTTGTTTGTCTTGTTAGATTTTAGTGGTTTTTTCTTTCTTTCTTTGATGGCAGGGGTGGGGGTGGGGAGAAGATGGGCACCCACAATGGGATCTTCCTGTCGTAATCTACTTCCGGCTTTAGCTGTATAAGAACATGAGCACATGTGTGCACTTAGCATGTATAGGAAGCCCTCATACATGAATCTAGGATCTTTTTATTTGGCCTCAGAATTGTGGAACTTTGGATCACTACTGTGTCTCTGTAGTTATCCTTTCTTCAGTTTTAATATTAAGTATGTACCCTGGGCTTTGATCTCTAAATTATATAGCTGGGATGGTTACAGATTTTATCTTTTGTGCCATTTTTCATTGGTAATTCAAAGAAGTGTAAAGCCCCAAGGGAAAGAAGACTTTGATTATTAGTGACTATGAGCATAATGTATGAATAATAATAATAAAATAATATAAATAAAAAAATAATTAAAAAGAGAGGACGTGTCCAAAGATGGTATATATTTTCAAATATCTATCAGAGTACTAATACGGGATCTGAACTAGTCAGAACATCACTGACTAATTCTGTTTCCATGCAGTGTAGTAAAGGAAATTAGAGTAGGGGCTGGGAAATCTGGGACTAACCCTTTGTTATGCCACCAATTACCTGTTCTCCTTAGAAAAAGCCTCTTAATAACTACTTAAGCCATAGATCCCATAAGACTACAAATTCTACAATTCTCTAATTTTATATCTTTCGCTTGGCTCTGACAATTCTCAGGAACATCAAAAAATAAAATCCTGATAACACTGTCATTAATAATATAAGCAAGGGAGAAATAGAGGAGGAATCTACAGAGACGTTTTTGGCTGCTCAAGAACCTCTCCAATAAGATCGATTTAAGAAAGGACATGTACATAATGTATGAATATAATAAAAATTAAATAAATAAAAAAGAAAGCAAATGTACAAAGATGAAAAGAGAACTATGTAACAAAGGAGAACTGATGCTAATAAAGTTAAAGCCCCTAATAAGATGAAACTTATTAATGCTAAATTTAAAATAAGATGATTTATGGTGAGAAGAAGAAGAACAAATGCTTAGTTACCTGAGACTCACACAAGGGGAGTCCCTGATGTGGGCCCTAGACTTTAGAGAGTTCCATTTTGGTCTGGCTCTGGTGAGTCCTCTCCAATTTGAATGAAAAGATCATGGGATCTAGGGTGCATGCCCATATAGATCATATCTCATGTGTCTAAACCATGATCCGTATAACATGGGAACCTGAAATTATCCACCTGAAGGTCTTAACTCTGCTTTCAGTGCTTGCACAGGCCTTTTCCCTGAGCCTGTCCTCACAAGAACAGATTTCCAACATATGGCTGTTTGCAGGACACAAGGCATAGCCTCAGTATGTGGGCTGAAGTATGCATGAGTGTTGGAAGATAAGGCTAGAGTTAGGCAGAGGAATGAGATAGGCTTGGGTTGGCTTCATGGGCGTGAAACCTATGCAGTCACACAGACACCCACACAAAGAACAACTTTATTCTTGTTTTAATGCTTTGAGATAGTCTTAATAATTTCATCTTTGAGTTCTTGTTTTGAAAGTGAAGTCTAATAAAACAATGAAGTATATATATGAGTGGTGGAGATACATGCATAATCATGCACACTGTTCCTTACCACATCTTTTGCATACATGATACATTGATGGTGCCCCATAAGTACAGAATCCAGCGGACTCACAATGCATGGAACATCAGAGATTCCAAGGAATTTCAAATAAGTACGATAGGCCTATGACTAAATAAGGGCATCAACAACCCAAGGGAAGCCATGCTTTCTATTTGAGCCAGAACTTGCTTTGAATACAGAAAGGGAGAAATGTTGTCCTTAAACAAATAAGCAAAGACCTGTATAGTAAGTAATATTTTTTATTTGTGTTATTTCTTTCTCTTAACCAATTATTTTTTTGCTAAAAGTTATGCCATAAAGGAAAAGAGAAAGATAAGTTGATCCATTGTGCCTTTACCTTTAAGTCTTTCCTTGCTCATCAGTAAGCCTCAGGTAGAAATTTTTGATAGAATACAAATATAAAAAAAACTAAAAAGGAATGAATTAGTTTTGTGCAGTGTTTCCACTATTGTGATAACAATGAATCTCATATATACGTATGAGCTACAGAAATGCATCACATAATTTAGGTGATTTTGTACATGAGTTAAATGTGCCTATATTTGCATATAAAACTGGCATTGTACAATATAAAAGAGTGCAATATAAAGATTTTACAAAATATATTTGCATTTAAATTGGCATTGCATAACATGAAGATATAAACTTTGTGCTAATAATTTAAAATCTTAATTTTTCTTTACTCAAATAGCATATGAAAACACCTAGAGCAAGTTGATAAAGAGAGATTGCACAAGAAAAAGAACAATGTCATATTTTAGTACTTTTATGACATTTTATACTATTGTTAGTAATATAGGCTTGCATTTTGTTTTTTACTGGGCTCTGTAAACTATATAGCTTATTGTGGCTGAGTCATAGGTGAGAGTCCCTTGATGAGGACTAGCTCTCATTGAATCTAAATTTTAAGCCACCCTTCTATCACAGCACTATTACTGGATCTTTTAAAGGTATATTTGTCAAGGTAAGAAGATACAACCAACTAGTAGATTTGGGTAGATATAACTTTTAAATATATAGAAATATAATATGTGGGCATCTGTATTTTCTCTTGCTCTAGGCTTTGTGACTGTTAGGTAGGGAATTGCTGTTCGATGTCAACAGTGTTATGAAAACAG